TGTTCGTCGAATGTTCGTCAATGTGCGCTGAATGTCGAACAATTCTAGGAACATTTGTAAAGTAGTAACCAATAGCAGCACGATATGTGGTCACATGATTTTTGTGCCCAATCATGCGCCGATCACGTGACTCTTTATAACACAGCTACTAGATGGCGCCACGAGGTTGTTCTCTGAAAAATGTTCGGCAATGTGCGCTCAGTAATTGTTCACCCGCACATTGCCAGACAAAAACATTTGTTCGGGAAAATGTTCGGCAATGTGCGCCAGGCTTTACGCGTAAGTCATCATTTTGCCGATTTATACAATGTATGTAATGCGTATCGTAATCGCGATCGCTGTAACAGTGCATCGTAGACATTCGAAAGTGTATAGTCAGCCGAAAACACAGAGACACGAGTCATACGAAACGTGTCAAAGTAACAGATCCATTTGTGTTTTACGAGAATGACACGGCTTGTTGAACCAAATGAGAGAGTGCTAGTACCTTCGAAGTAGTAGAAGAAGAGAAAGAAGTGGTAGAAAAAGCGCAAAGGGACGAAGTGACAGCAGATTCAAACCAAAGGGAAAAGAATCTTAATCGAGCCATTGAAAACGTTACAAGATTAAGCCGTGTATCTAGAAAACCTAGGAGTTTTAGTTTTAAATTATTGTAAACTGCGTGTTACAATATGTACACTTGTGTACTATGTATGTAGTGGCCTTGAGCCGGCTTCGACTCGAGTACGGAGGGCTCGAGTCCGAGTCCGAGTCATTGCACTCCCGAGACCAAGGAAAACGGTCTCGAGGCCAAGAACGGTCTCGAGACCTACAACACTGCTCACAGTGCACCTTATATCGCTGTGTGAATCAGTAAATGCAGCTCACTAAGTCACTATATCAGTATATAGCCTAATGCAGTCATAATTACCCTAAAATTTAAACTGAAATGATAAATAACTGAATACAATCGAACTGTTTACAATTACCACATCGTCTCAGCGGCCATTTCTGCGTACATGCTGCCCTCCGTAGGGAATAATTATAACATTTTCTATGATATATAATACGGTATATATTTTGAATATTTTCTATGTACGGATTTGTCTGATTTTGAGCGGATCTGATGGTTTATGAAATAACAAATCCGTAGGTAATCGCCAAACTCGGGAAACTGCAGGCTAGACTGGTCCGCGCTCGACAAGCAGTGTAACGCGAGCAGTCACGTCTAACTGCAGCCCTGTAAACATATTAGCGATGTGCTGTAGCCACTGATTAGCTGACTGGCGAGTCATGACTATTGACCAATCAGAGCGGGCGTCTCATACACGCTTCGGCCGATGCACAGAGTAGGAAGTACTAGCGGGTTGGATCGGATCGAAAATACGGGAAAAAGTATTGAGGATCGGATCGAGGGAAGAGAATCGTGATTCGATTCGATTTCTGTGGATCGTTACAGCACTAATTAATAGCCATTATATTTAGCCTGATTGAATGAAAATATTGGTATAATATAAATGTGTCTGGCTATTGGAAAGTATTACCTCTTCCCTGTACTCTTTTTTTTATATAAGGTTCTGTCTAGTAACAAACAACTGACGTATGTTTTTGCAGGGCAATGTACAGAGACTGAAGGAGTACAGGTCCAAACTCATCCTGTTCCCCAAGAAGATGTCGAAGCCCAAGAAGGGAGATGCTGAGGAGCAGGAGTTGAAGATGGCCACACAGCTGAAGGGAGTTGTCCTGCCGGTGAAGAATGTTGTGAAACCAGAGAAGGCACGCGTCATCACTGACGAGGATCGCAAGTTCAGCGCATTCACGGCGCTAAGGCAGGCACGTGCGCACAGGCGTTTGTTTGGCATCCGTGCAAAGAGGACTAAGGAAGCCAAGGAGGAGGCTGAACAGAGCAAGCCAAGAGGAAAGTAAATCCGACGTCAATACGTGTAAAATAATAAGGGGAAAAAATAAAGCTTCATCTTTATTTGTGAAGAGATAGTGACTTTGGTGTAATATTTTACAGCATTACGTGGTAATGCCACATTCTTTATCAAATGGTTACAAGAAAACATGGCAAAATGTAATTTGAGAACAGAATTCAAGGTACGATGTAACATGGGCTTAAATAGGAAGACGCTAATTTATTTTATGAAAAAAAATCTTTAATAAAATTGCTAATAATGCAAACGTGCAACTTTGAAAACCTGGGAATCAAGTACACATTTTAAACTCGCCCATTCAACCCCCCAGTTCCTGACCAACACTCAAAATTCACATTCAATTCTACATTCTGTTGGATATGTTCTCGTGGTAGTCTTAAAAATACTTAGTGATGCTTGCTTCTGCTTACAACAAATTAAGTTAATTGATGCATATTGCACGAAAGTGTTCATCAAATTTAGGAATTTACTTGCATAGGTAGACTGATGACAAAACTGAATGAACAATCAAGTTCTTGTTTCAAACCAGATTTATTCATCGTTCTGCAACTTATTTCATATCCACTCGACCATTACAATATTGTATGTAAATAATTACATTATGCTACATCTACTTTTATCACACAATTTGTTGCAAACATGTTTTTACACTGTAATAAAGATCTAGCTTGAATAAGCCACTTAACACGAGCAGTCCACTTGCTTGGCGTGACTACAATTACTGTACATCTGTATTGGAATGGCACATTTACATGAAAATCAGTACCTACACAGTACGACTTGTACGCTTACACTGGTGTTAGAAATTTTACATCCTAAATATACTTCAGTAACACCCTATTACGCTGCATTCTTGTATAGTGACTATTCTAATTACACATAAGCAATGAAAAATACAACAGTTTAATTTCTGAATACCGATCGAAACACTTCATGTCTGCCACCCATGAAACTAGCAAGATTTGTATCGCAACCGTTTTTTATCTAATGCAATCGTCTGTGGCGTGGAGGAGGGGGGGGGTTATTGTGGTGAGCTAGCCGATTGAAGAAATGGCCAAGAGCAATGCCCCAGCCTCCAAGTGCACACGAGACCGGCCAGTGCAGAGACGGACGAGTGCAGTAACTTTCGTCGCGTGTCGTCTCTCCTCACGAGAACCACAGGCGACGAGGAGGACAGCGTATGAAGCGGAAGGCAGGACAATCTCTTCGGGTCGTGTTCAACTTGATACTTGCAGCAGGGGTCGAACTGCCAGGAGACCGTGTAAATCCCAGTACATGCCATGCTGATGACAGCCAGCGGACACGACAGAAAGCACTGATCTTGCCAGATGCCTGCCGACACAAGGCTTCCCAGCCCAGCCAAGACACCAGTTTTGTGTAGACAGTTGCCCACCTTAATCCATTTTGCCGTCTCATCTCCAAGCTTTGGGGGTTCGATCACAATGATATTGCATTTTGCTTCCAATGCACGTTCGAGTTCGACTTCGAAAGACTCCTGTAGATCAACGTCGTCTTCGCTGTAAATCTCATGAATGATATGCCAGTCCTTTGGAAAGTGCTCCAGGTCACTGCATAAAAAGTAAAGTAAACGTAACGAATGATAAACATTGAAAAAATAAAATAACACTTATCTTGTATCTAACACTTATCACTTATCTAACACTTATGAAAGATCATTTCTAGTCCTAAAGAGAGGGAGTCCTGCTACCCTCCTAAATTGACCTTTGCTTGAGAAGTAGACCTAATAGTAATTAATTAATAATCTATAACTGCTGCAGTCAGTGTTACGTGCCATAAAATTAAAAAAAACAACAACTGAATTCTAGCCTAAAAATTAAACATGTCTTAGATCCTATTCTAGCCAATAATCTTAGCGTAGATTTTTCAAACATATTGCAGACAATACTTCAATGACACAGCTACATTCATGTGAAACATGGTTGTTTATATTACTTGGGAGTATTAATATGTTTTAACAACGATAAATACCTTTCACTTGTTTCTTCGGAAGCCATCTTGATACTTGATATACATCCGCCCGGCGCCCGTGGCAGCCGTGCATCGCCCGGTCACCGGGGGAATAGCAACCGCGGGTAAGCAGTCAGCAGTTATTAGTTTTTGAGATCAGGATTTGAGCAACACACGTGCTCATGGCCAGTTCCTTTTCTTGTTAGCACAGAAGACCGATAGAATATCATTGCTTAGATTGCATAGATATATACAATCACGTGTTTGTATATATATCAAAGCGATAACACGCCGAGATGCCAAGAAAGAGAGAGACACGCACGTACATAAACACAGATAGAGGAGAGAGAGGTAGAGGCAGAAAGGCGCGAAAGAAGGAGAGAGGGAGAAAAAATATGTATATATATATATATATATATATATATATATTATATCAGGAATATTGATAGACTCCTGATTATATTGCAAAAGAAAGAGAGAAGGGGAGAGAGAAAGAGAAAGAGGGGGAGAAGAAAGAGAGGGGGAGAGAGAGGGGTGTGTGTGCAAGCTTGTGAATTTATACGACATAGGATATGTATAGTATATTTATGGATTATAATGGTTATATTAGCACTATTACAATTATCTATGATCTTTACTTAAACTAATGAAACACATAATTAATTATTTATCAAAGATATCATAACATACTTATACAATATATCAAGAGGTGACAATACTTAATTATTTATATAACAATATTAATTTTTATTATGGATTCCTGGCCCGATTCATAGTAATCTTTTAGTAAAATATTGACTTAAGACAATAATACAAGAATCCTGTTACTAACATGGCATTTTCTGTCCCGGTATATTCATTTCTATAATAAAACCTTTGTACACACCTTCTAATCCATTGTTTTTCTTTTCAAATTAAGGCTAATATAATATACGGAACCCGCTTAATACGATTATTTCTTTGGCCGTCGTCTTCGTACTAATGGGGGTGCGACCTGTAGTAATGAATTGTAGTAATTGAATGAGGAGTTTAGGCTTTGCAGTAATTGTATCTATTTGTGAACAATTTAACGCTACTAAAGTTCTTAATTATCCATATAAACCTATATAAAATATC